TCAGTTTTTTTTATATACTTTTAAGCATTTTAATTTTTGGTATTATGTTAATATTTCAATTAGGCTCTTGTAAATCTCAGTTTTTTGCATGTAGATATATTGATTTCTCCCTGTACATAACTTTTATTCTTTTGGTAATATTTTTTGTTTGTCAAATTTTGATTGTGTATCAGTAGGTCCACATCAGCCCTTCGGCTGCCAAACAATCTCAACCTACTTATCAAATAAAGTTTACTTACTTACTTACTACTATTTGTCAAATAAACTAAGTTGTTTTGGCTCTTTAGGGATGATATATTTAGATTCATCCCTAAAATTCATTCTCTAAAAAATTCATCCCTAAAATTCATCCCTTTACTTGAACCGTCGTTAAGTAAAGTCTGTTTACGAGTCTAGTGGCCCATTAGGCCGGTGCTTAACTCCGGTTTCTGTAGCATGAAGCGACTAGGAGTATTTCTACTCCCCCCTGGATGGGATGCTAGTCCATCGCAGGGTTACCCCCAGCATTAAATCGCCGGTACCCATTTATACACCTGGGTGAAGAGAGGCACTGTGAGGGTAAAGTGTCTTGCCCACGAACACAACACAATGTCCCGGCCCAGGCTCGAACCCGGACCACTCGATCCGGAGACGAGCGCTCTAACCATGAGGCCACCGCGCCTCCAATCGCGCCTTTAACCGTCGTTAGTCCCAATTTATTTGTTTCGATAAGAATAGAAAATTGGCTTGACTCAGAGGTACTATGTTGTGGAACAGCCCTTGCATGAACTCCGATCAAAAGTCTCTTTAAGCGAATTTAAACGTAAACTGCATCACTGCAGCTTTGAATGAGACACGGCATCCTTAGAAAGCAGCTTTAGTGATATAACAGGTTCTTATTCTCATAATACCGCATTAATTATTAGTTTGTTTAGCTAGGCAGAATTCGATATTTTATACTCTAAGATTGTGCTGAAGGAATTTTTACCTTGTATGAATAAAGTTATCTATCGGTCTAAAGATTTATTGTACTTACATGAAGAGGAGTGGGGGGAGGGACGAGTGCCGATATCGACACCACGGCAGGGCACTGAATTTTTGGTCGAGGTGACCTAAATGGATACTCCAAAATCAGGTTTTCGATTGACGACTGGAAACTATTATCACTTTTCAGTAAGTAAGGATATAGGTTCCAGTCCTCACTCGGAAACCCGAGTTTAGAGTATCTATTTAAATCACGACCCTATGTTTATAGGGCTTCAACTTGATTCGTATCATGGATTCTTCTGACTGTATCTCATGTTTAATCACTCCTATGTAATACCTCTGTTACTTTACTTTACTCGTATGTAATACCTCTGTTACTTTACTTTACCTTCCATCACTAGAACCGTTGGATAAAACGTTTGCCATTCCTTTCAGGAGGGCGACAGAGATCCCGACAGAATCTGAGAAAGAAAAGCACATCTTTTTTTCCAAGAACAGAACACGAAGAAGCTCACAAAAACGCAAAAAAAAAACAAAAAAAAATTCGGGATAGAGACGTCGAGTTACCATTGTCGTTTCTATCTTTCACAGTAGCACTTGGTATTTTGACGCTGTGCGGCGAATTGGGAAAAACTGTGGCATTGAAAAAGGTTTGTCTGCTTTTTGCATTCACTTGCAGTTCTGCAAAAATAAAACAACAGCTGATTTTTATGAAAAGGGTTTTTTTCTATGTGAGATTATTCCCCTCAAGTTACTCGATGCATCACTCAGGCCGTTCTTCGTTGTTTCTAAGATGACCTTAAAAGAGGCCTTATTTTCATATGAACATCCACACGAGACAAACATGTCGCTAGGCGCATTAGAAGACAACTTTTCAAAGGCTAGGTGTCAGTGTCACAATTAACAAATGGTAAACACCACAGCGTACACTATTGAGTTATGGATGCACGCGGGAGGTTGCTAAGCAC